ATATTCTCCAACCGGAAGATTGATTAAACACAAAATGTAACATCATAGGAACAGATGGCATAAACCCTAGATTGGAATGCGCAAAATCCAGAAATGCACAGACTTGAAGGAAGAGAGATAATGAAATGGAAAAGAGAAAACTCACCTCCGGAGCTGCGGCTGCCTCGAGGCATCTTTGAAACGTAGAGGTTGAAGAAATGAAGAATTATCCGGCAAGCTTTTTCTACGACCAAAACCCCCGGTCGGAAACAAGTTTATAAAAGAGAAAAGGTGAATAATCAGATGTGCTCAAGAACACGGGTAAGGTTTATACGTGTAAAGTTATCATTGGTTGTAACTTACGAATAGAACTCTCTAGATAAGAGAATATTCCCCCTTGCCCGTCACGTTTTCTTGCTCCCCAAACCAAGCAAGATTGGAACACAGCTAATTACACATGTTTTTAACTTTTTACATACATAAAAATAAATGTTTTCACAAAAAAAAATCACAACGACATTGACATATACGACGTCGTTTCTCGAAAGCTTATTGAGGGCTTTTATTACAAAAAGCTTCACTTGCAGACCCTATCTGGTTGATTTTTGGTGTATAAAACATTTAGATTTTTAGTTTGATGATTGATTCACTTTGCATTGCATGTTGCTACAGAAAATGGGTTTTGTTCCTAAGTTTCTGGACACAGTAGTACCATTAGATTAGAGCTCAAGATCACATCTTAAGTTTCATTCAGGATTTAGTGAAAGTAACACACTGTACAAAAGAGTGAAAATAAAAAAAGATTGAATGAAAACAAGGAATACAAGGAAGCTCTCTTCTTTCTAAACTGCTGCTTTATGATGAAAAAAATCTAGAGTTTTAGCTTAGGAGCAGAGTCCTCCAATCAATGATGTTGATTCACCTATTTGGATAAAGGCCTGAACAAGTTTTTGAGCTATTTGGATTTCATGAGGAGTCCCAGATATGGCAATGATCCTGTCACTTGTTCCTAACTGAGGCTCATGGGCTATGACTGTCGCACACGATATCTGATCACAGAAACATCAAATGATAAGCTACAACTTTGATTCCAGACTAGAAACAGAGGATGACTGTGATTGAAAACTTCTATAGAATTTTCTCAGAGTAAAGTTAATGAGAAGCGAGGATGCACTCCTATTGGCCAAGATAATGTCCACTGGATGATTGCACTAAGCAGTTTAGTTTACCACTTGGATCATTTTATTTAAGGTTCATATGTCTTCCTTTTCAATTTCTGTTGAGAGTTAACACTTTACTCTCTCGCTATCGATGTACCATGCTCATTTGTATCCAGCACCTAGATTATTGTCTAACCTAATCCTAACAAATCCATGAGGTAATCGAGGAAAGATTTTGTATGCGTTACCTGTCTAAGGTCCTCTAGACGCTGTCGACCACGCTCCTCTCCAAACACAAAGTGCACAGCACTCTCTGGAACTCTAATTTCCTTAGTCATGTTTTTGGTTCCAGAATTTTTCCTTGAATTGAGGAGAAAGTTGCCTACTAGCGTGCTGGTAACATGGTACATCGCCAATTTCACAATTGTGATATCTCCTGAAATCTATTGGAAAGGGAAGTACGTGTATAAGACAGACAGCAAAACAAACAAGTGAGAGACTTTTAATTCTCTAAGTCTACATGAATGCTTCAGATACTTCATCTCAATGATTATCAGTGTGCAGCAAATTAGAAGCATGTAAGCCAATTTAGAGACTACCACAGAATACAGCTACGCAAATTAAAGCTCCAATATCTATAGGCTTCATAAACCATACGAGAGAATGTGTATACCAACTTGTGAGCTTCTATTTAGATGTGTACCGTATACCCTTAGATTGAAAAAAGAGGTTAAAGTACCTGAACAACTTGATCGTTCGCTGAGATACATTTTGGGTTATGCACAACCTGCAATACTAGTATACAAGCCCCAATTGTTCTCAGTGTTTCAGAAACTAGCAAACATCCCATCTGATTTGTGGGGACAACGAGCCGTGCAGTGATATAAGACCATGAGCCACTGACTTTAGTATGAATCTCACATAATCTAGAGAAAACACGGCCAATAGCTGCTTGGGCTGGGGGCATTCTGTCTTTAGGTATCTACATGATGTACAAGCGGCAAACATCAACCAATAGCGATAACACAGATAAAAGAAAGTAAACGAAGAGAATTGAAAATGGGAAGAGTTAATCGAAGACCAACCTCTGATGATGTAAACGTAATCAAGCATTCATCACAGTCAGGAAGTGTATCTCCCACATCTATGGAGGCACCTCTCACACTTTCAAGATTCTTGATATCGGTAAGACTTTCAATAAACACCACCAACAATTTCGACCAGACAGAGTAACTTAAAGACCACTGTTTGATTATCATCTTCCATTGCTGAGAGAGGCTGCTTCATGGTGAAAAGGTGATTCCTTGAAGCAGAGGCAGTAATGCTGTGAGGATTAACCATAGTCCTGCCTAAAGCGTCATGATGAACCGCCTCAGTATACCTCTGCAAAGCACCCCGAGGAAAGCCTCAATCTGCTTATGCCTAGCAATGTGAGAGATCCCATCACTAGACCGAGGTAAATTTCCATGAGAATCAATGTCAACAGGCCTTAGAAGAGCCTCCTGGATATTATTATTAAAGTGCCTATCCTCAAAAGCTCTACCAAGGGATTTATTTCCGACCATCCAAGTCTTATAAATCTGACGAGCTTGCAAGCGACTGGATACAGATACTAGAGCTCTCTTCACTGCCAAAACATTCCCTTCGATCTGCCACAGATTTAGCAACTCCACTCATCAGGATAAACTATAAAGATTCTGAGAACACAAGCATCTACAAAACGCTATCTTTACAAAGTATAAAGATTCAGCTCCCAAGTTCAGTATAAAAGTGAGAATCTTTATTCTACAAAAACTTGACCCATAACAAAGAACAATTACACGGAAAATAAACCTAAAGCATTCAAGATTCAGAGATTTTCAGAAATCACGAATTCGTACCTCAACCATTGCATCATCAGAATCTGCACAAATCAGCAATCGATTTGTCTGTATTTCAACCTCGCAACCAGTTTCCTTCCTTATCCTCTCCAACATTTCACCACTTTCACCTTTCACAGCATCCACATGGCAAGCTTCCATTAACAGCTTACACGAGACCGTACCAGTCGAATCTCCTTGATTCATAACCTCGAAAACCTAATCAATGCTTCTTGTGCTTTGGATACCTCAATCTCTTCTTCTTCTTGAAGCAATCGATTATCACCTAATTTTAACCTAGCCGTCGAACCCACCGGTGCGATAACCCTCACGACCCGGTAGTTGCAACCAGGAAAACCCGGGTCGACCCGGATCCTTGATTCCGTTGACTGCTGAATCCGATTAATCACGAGTCCACGAGCTCCGATCACGGTACCGACTTGATTTATGAGGCAGAGAATGCCGAAGGATATATGACCCGCCGCTAACGACAGTGGCGCTTCGGTCGTGGGTGTGCGTGATGCGTCTTGACTCTCTTTGAAGATCCGAATCGAGGAACCGGGTCGGGCATTTCTGTGCTCTTCTCAAGAGGAGAGAAAACGCTATTTCCCTCCATTTCTTTTTCTCTCTCTAACTATCTCTTTAACTCTGTAACGGCAACTTCTTGAGGAATGGAAGAAGAAAGAAGAAGAGTGGTTTTTCATTGGATGGGGGGCCAATACGACGTCGTATAAAGGATTGGATTTAACATGAACCGAATCAAACCAGTGAGCGGTTTATATTCTATATTCCCGAATTAACCCGAACCGAGATAGATCAAATTTCAAAATCTTGGTTTACATCAAACGATAATATTGGTTTTGCAGTCTATTAGTATTGTGATATCGATTCAATAAATATAAATTTATACACATGCACTATGGCATAAAATATTCAAATTATTGATTTTATTTCAGAAATAATTTGAATATTCAAACAGGAAAAGTGCTGAATATGTTTTCATTTCTCCTATATGTTCCTTACATTGAAACTAAATTAAGATTTGTCAAATTTTAAGAATGTCAATCAAGGAAATCTATTCTTTTCAAATAAAATATTTATAAACAACACAAATTAAAGCAAAACCAACCAATGTAATAAGTAAGATAAAAAAAAGAGGTAAACTTCTGTTCTTTGAACTGTATTGTAAATATCCAATAGAACAGAAAAAAAAGATTCACTTGCAATTTGAGAACTCTCAGAGAAATAAGAAAATTAAAATCATCAATTTTCTGCAGCAGCACTTGCAGCACTCAAGTCCACAGACAAATCAAGAGTCTGCAAAAGAGACAGTAGAAAAACTCAGTGTTTGAAATGTTAAATTTCGTTTACTTGTGAAGCAAGAAACACAGTAATGAAGTTTATACCTTTCCAGTGATCTTGGTGTACATCTCAAGAACATCCACAACAGTACTCTCAAAATGTGTTGTTGCATCATAAGTCTGATAAGAAAAAAACGAAACAAGAAAGTATCAGAGAAGAGTAAACAACATGTAAAAAGATTGTGTGATGTATTCTTCTAATATTCTCTTACTCCAGATATGAAACAGTTGTCTTCTTCTTGATTATTGGTTGGAACGTATGTATCATAAGAATGATAGAAGATTTCATCAACAGGTCCAAGCAATTCAATTCCAGGTTTAAGCTCTTCCTCTGGATTATCAGTTTCAGCTTCTGCAGAGACAAAAGCTATGTATTTGCCTTTTGGTGCCACATTGTGAGCGTATGAGCAACAGAACAAGTACCTACAGAATCCAGCAACTCAGAGATTCATATCTTTAAGTGAGAGATTCATGTTTCTATAATTGATTTGTGTTCTTGATTATGATCTCTTACATGTCTGATTTGCGGCCGAGTTGCTTCTGAGGAAGAATGATTTGGACCGAATGAGCATCGTTGGTGTCTGGAATAGGATGGCTCATTATACATACCGCCCGAGTCACTTTCCCAACTTTCTTAACCTAAAAGACAAAGAAACCGTTATAAAATGTAACTAGACAGTACAAGAACTAACCAGTTTATGCAAGTGAGATAGGTTTAGGGTTACCTTGTCAGACAAGTAAGAAGGATCACAGACAACTTTCTTGCATTTTGCAGTTTCTCCTGCAGAAGTAACACCAATAGCTTTTCCAGAGCCATCAAACTCAACCTGTTATGAATAATGTTAATGATTCATACACATCTCATTAACATACTAGATTATATCTCTTGCATTTCCTGATGTATATATATATGAGATTTCGTATAGACAAAATAGATTATGGGTCATATGTAACCTTGCATTCAGGCTTGTTGAGCATGTACGTCCCACCGTACACTGCGCTCAAACGCGCAAAAGCCTGAGATAGAAACAAAGATTAGAAACAGAGGAAAAGGTTGTAAAGACGAAACTTGAGATCTTTCATGAGAATAAAGTGAACAAGAACCTGTGGCAACTCTCCTAGACCGTACAATGGATAGATGTATGGAGATCCTCCTTGGAATCGAGCCAAAGATTCCGCGTAGAGCTTTACCAATTAACAAACACAAAAGATAAAATTGAGATCAGAGCATATGCTATAGTTGAAGAAGAACAGAAAAAAAAAACACTTTACCTTGATTCTCTTAACAAAATCAATGGCGGGTTGATCCAAGTAGTCATCGTCGTTGTGAAGGGCTAAGGCATGGCCAATGAAGTCGATTGTATCATCTTCAAGACCGTACTTCCTATCGAAGGAACAAAAAAAACAGAGAGATGAAAAGCATGTACACAAGAAACTATTATGAAGTAACTTGAGAAGAAGAAAACTTCGTATGTACTTACGAGATGATCTCTCTAGCAGTGACTTTGTTGAGGTCAAGTCCTTCGTGAGACTTAGGATCCTTCTCATCGTAATCTTGCACATAGATGAAGAACTTCCTCGCACGTCGCTTCTCGAAAAGACCCATCAATGGCGATGTCAGAGCTTCCACATCAGTGGCTGGTACTTTATAGATCTGTCATTTGTATAGTACGGATGATCAAAAGCTCCGAGTTTTGATTAACTTTAAGAGACAAATAAAAAGATCAGATAGAGTTTTGATTACTACCTTGCCTTTCTTGTAGACGAAGCTACCATCGACTGCTTTGAAGTTAAGATACTTGGTGACATCAGTGTGGATTAGGGTTTGAACAAGGAGCCCATTAGCCATTATGAACTACAGATCAAGAAACCGTATCCAACATTAATCAATAATATATAATTACATCAATGCATTTACGTATAAATATGCATTTATATAATTATGTACCTTTGGGATCATATCAACATTGTATTCTCTGCTTGCTCCAAGATTTTCTTGGGGAGTGTCACTTCCCCTAAAACGCTTCCATAGCTGAGTGAGGTTAAGGGAGGTTGATTCTCCTCCATAGTAGTCGTTTCTATCCATATGAAGTACCTATTTACATCACAGCATAAAAAACAGAAAGAATTCACATATTTCATAAATGAATTTACCCATTTAGCATAGTACCATTCATGACCTATGAAACACAAAATATGTTTATTAATTCTTTTGCGGCAACGAAAACTCGTTCAAAATGTCAAAAAAAAAGAAGTTATCCTTAGATAGATCACACATACCATTCATAACTATAATGAAAAAAGCTAGACCTAAACGTAAAACAAGAATTTTATAATAGTGAAAGAAGATGGTAAAAGAAAAAAACCTTGAGGCCATCGACAGAGAGAAGACCACTAAGGATACACTCCTTGAGACCAGTCCCAAGAACAATCACATCATACTCTTCATCCATTATTGTAACCGATATCTATCTCTATTATCGATCGTCTTCAAATTCTTTGTCCGATCTCTAATATATTTAGTTTTATTGAGAAACAAGTGTGTGTGAAGAAAAAGAAATAGAGGATGATTTGTGGCTATTAACAGTCTTACCACCTCCTCCGATCTTACCGTTTAACCCCATTTCAGAATTTTATTTCACGTTTTTTTTATTAAAATACCGTATTGTTAGGAACAAAATTTGAATCCTATGCATACAAATTGTTAAATGGGCAAACATTACTAAATATAGAGGAGCATGTGACAAAAATTATTTCTGTTTCATCATTCTACAATTTTTTTATACATATTCAAAAAACTATTAAAAGTTCTATCTCTTTTTATTATTATACTAAATAGATTTATCTTTGTAATTAGTAAAACTATATTTTGTTTATAATTTTTACATCGAAAATACAAAACTTTACTTTTTGAAAAATCAAAATTTTTGAGTATTGGCAAAACAAAAGTATTGATGAGAATCAATCTATAACAAAAAAAAAAAAACCATTTTCTCTCCCGAAGAAAATTCCTCCCGTCGCTTGATCTTGTTTGGCCGGCGCGGTGATTTTTACAGCGCCGTCGCCGTCCCGTCTTTGTTTCTTTTATGCTTTGCTTTAATTATCGGGTTGTTCTCGGCATCCTTTCCTGGGTTATAGCTCTTCGATCAAATCGGTTCGGGCTTAGGTGGAGATCAGATCTCGATCAGGATTTGGGTCCTTGTTGGTTGGAATGGCCGGTTCTGTTGTGGTCTATAGTTCTGTTATGCGTCTCCGGACGCGACCGATGAAGACCTTAGCGAATTAGATCCAGATCTGTCGAAGTGGTTCCATTAACGGTTCGGCGATATCCGGTTCTGTCCTTATCGTTTCCCTCTCGGTTTTGATTCTGTGGTTTAATCGTGGCCTGTATTGTCATTCTTTTCATGTGTGATTTCTCTGCCAATAGATTTGTTTGATCTTTGTTAGCAATTTCCATTTTAAGGCTTTGTTTCCCTGTCTTTGGGCTCACGTTTCTCCTCTTCTTTAGGATTTTTGATTCTTGTTGAGGATGGAGCTTTGAGCTAGGGTTTCTGTCCCTTTTTGGTTTATATGGTTTGTACTATGCGTAGTTCTTAGATTAGATGAATCTGGATGGTTATTTGGTTTGCGATCAGCTTCTCACTTTGGTTCTTCGGGTTCATATTGGAGAGCAATTGTGTCTAAGCAAGCCTTAAAAAGAATCGTATTTTCTTCTAGAGACTTGCAGTGTGTTATCGTCAAGAGTGTTTGAAACCCGTCTTCGGAATGTTGTGAGGGAATGCCTTATTGTCGATGGTTCTAGACTCGGTGCAAGACCGCCAATGCGTCGTCAAAGAAATCCGCTTTTATTACTATGTCAATGTGGAATTGGCCATTAGTT